TATTATTATTCTCTTTTTTTCTCTGCACCTTTTACTTTTTTTCTTTATTTTTTTATAGTCTTAGTTTGTATTAGTCTTTTATCTTTCCATTTGTAAACTTTAATAAAAATTATTTTAAAAAATAAGATAATTACTAGAAGTGCATGCATTCCAAATTTCTCAAGCACCAAGGGAAAGGCTGAAAAGTGGCTAACATCTACATATGACTACAGCAAACTATTCCACATCCAAGAGAGGAATTCATAAATTCCTTCTTAAAACAAAATCAGTAACACAAGTCAAGTAATAATATATAAGAAGCAGAGTAAAGTGAACATTAGTCACTTACTTTTTAAATAGACTTTCAAGGTTCATGAAGCCAGGATAGAATAGTAGTTCAAGGGAAACTAGCTGTCAAGCCCTCTGTCAGAAGACATGATCAACAAACCAAGAATCACACAAACTTCAGGAAGGCGGTTTAGTGCAGGAATTACAGATAAGGTATAGAATCTTGGAAACTATGATAAGAATCTCCAGCCCTTTTTTATTAATATGTTCATTAAGGCAGACTCTTTTGAATATTTTGAATTTATTCTTCCCAGCCTTCTTGCAGCCAGGACTATGCTGCGGTAGAACTCTTCTAACTCTTCTCCCATCTGTACTTCCATCTCCTATTCAGCCTTCTCACAATCTCTCAAATTCTTTCTAATTGCCATTTCTCACTGTAGATTTATTTAACATATTAAAATATGAGATGTACTCTACCTTGAACTTTTTTAAAAAAATAAGTATTTAATATAAATGTAGATGCCTTTTTTTTTTAAAAAAAAGTAATGTAAATGTAGATCTCTTTAAAAAAAAAAAAAGAAACTAGAATTGAAATTTTAATGTGAGCTGGGAGGTTTTTTTTTCATTGCTCCAACTACGTTCAGAATATTCATAAGCAGGCTTAGAAGTATAGACCTATAATCTTCAAGCCAAAAAAATAAAAATCAAATGGAGAAGGTATTTCTTAATATTTATTGTCAGATTGGGTACTGTACATTTACTACTCTTAACTTTACAAGGTTCAACTACAGATTTTCTGAAACAAATACATAATTGTTTTCAATAGTTGTATATAGATCAGTGGACTATATAATAGAGATGATCTGAATCAAACTTTGGATTTTTTTTTTTAGGTTGTAACATTCCAACATTCAAATTATATTCTTAGATTCATAATGCTTTGCTAGATTGAATGTCTGATTTTAATTTAGTGGATATTTGATATGTTATTCATTGATATTAATTATTCACATCATCTTTGGAATAACATGATCCTGAATGTTATGCTCTGACCTAAATGACATTTCAATGGACATTCTAATGGACAATCACATTAAAAAAAAGGGACATTAGTTTCCTATAATCTTGAAATTCAGTTAATTAAAAAAAAATCCTATCTGTGTATACTGAATATTAATACAGTATAACGTTAATACAGATAATGTTTAATAAGGATTGATTACAATTACTTTTCTGTTAGAGATGGAACTCAGGAATTAGAATATTAACCGATATTCTAATTATTTTGTCCAATTATTGTTGTGCTCTGGATTGTTAACATAACTCTGGATCAATCATATGCTAAGGGTGCATATGTTCTTCTTAGTTAAATCTCCAGTATTTGGAATATATCAAAATATAACTGTGCATTTTTTAAGCCATGGGAGTTGGCCAAAATAATTATTATGCAACATGCAAATAAAAACATACAACTGATTTGCAGCAATGAATTGTTGATACGTATTGTTTTGTCAACATCTGAATAAGTCTTTTGCTGACAAAATGACAATAGAGAAGACTATCAAACAATATGGTTGAAGATTTTGGATTTGTCCTATTTATAACAAATTTCCAGGAATTTCCTCCCTCCCTTTTTTCTCTTATTGTTATGCTTATTAATTTTGTAATTGTGTTAACCCTTTAACATTGTTGCATTAATAAGTACTTTTCAAAATTTTATTTCCATAATAATTTTCTTGAAAAAAAATCTTCAAGCCAATCCTGTTTCAAATGTTAATTGACTTCCAGTTCCTACAATTTCTGGAGGAAATACCATCCACATTATCTAAAACCCTTTTATTTTGAATATCAGTTCACAATTTGCATAAGAGAAAATATTTAAGATACACAATATTAAGCAAATGACTTTCAAATCACATCTGTTCTTTCAGCCCCCTCTGTGACATGGGGCTGAAAGGTGTGAAGAGAAATTAGGATATGTATTTGTTAAACTAACAGCATCTCAAACTATTTGGGATAATGTGTAAGCATAAACCAATCAAATCCTTGATATAAAATTTATGATTTCAACTGGATTTGTTAAAAGCCAATCCAAAAAGAAACATTGTTACTATCGCAATTGATGAAGTGAAGCATTGTAAAAGTTCATACTCAGGGAACGATACAATGAAGAACTGCAATTTATAGCACCAAGGATGGATAGATATTTGAAAGTTCAGGCTATAAAAAGAAAATAGTTACATAATTACTATAATAGCTGATGAAGCATGATATTGCCATATGGAAGATGTAGTAGAATTATCATTTAATGGAAATGTCAAACATTACTTGTACTTCATTCAGTGGATACAAGAACAGATGCTTAAAATTCCACTTCACATTAACAGTCAGTTTTACATCTCAGTACTTCTTGATGCCATTTCTCTCCAACATAGGTACATTAGGAAGATGGCATGGGATGTCAAGGCAGCAGCCCTGACTTTGTGAAAATAAGAAAAGAAAATGCATAATTAGGATGGATATTAAAATGTACATTTATCTCTTTTCAGATATCCAGGATGTCCTAATCTTCTCAGTTCTTTCAGAACTTAGAATAGCCCTGTGTGACATGCCCTCTGAAGATCTACAAATCACAGCTTTCTTCTTAATATCTTCAGGGCATACCAGAATAAATCCGAAATGGAGTGAGAGTTGGCAGTGGCTGAAGCAAAGTAAAATCAGTGCTACAATGTACACAACTATTCTACAAGGATTTGTAACTGGGATTCCAAACTTGGATTTCCTAGTAGAACTAGCCATATATGTCATGCTTTATAGACAGAAATGTAAGGACATTTTTAAAACAAGGGAAAGAAAAAGAAATAAAACTTAATATTGAGGTCATGTTTTATGGACACTAACAAATAGGGGTGAAGAAAATGTTTTGTCTTGTATCTATGACTTCCTTGCGATATTTTCCTCAGTTGGACCATATCAAGGAACTAGGAACCTGTTGATTCCTTTAGATCAAAGGATTGCCTCATCTTGTCTCTTCTTCAACTTCCATCAGGGTTTCTTCTTGAAAGGAAAATGTTGTGATATCCCTGGTTGGAATTTTGCAGTTCATTCACTGGGATCAATATTTAGCAGAGCATGATTGAGCATAACCAAGCCCATTAAAATTACGTAGAAATGGATGCTTAAGATGCAAAAATACAAACTGAATTAAGGAATTACTTGGTTTGATAGGGAAAAAAAAAGCCTTCAACCTTTGAACTTTCTGGCCTCATGGTGATATAAAGGAAAAAGCAGAAGGAAATATTCTCCCTTTAGGAGCAGGCTGAAGGGGAGGCTAAGAATTTATAGTCAATGAAAAGCAGAAACAAGGAAAAAGACCAAGAAGGAATCCCTTGCTTACTCCTTATTCCTAGTGCCCATAGTGGTTAATAGTATAAAAAGTCTTCAGAGATTATGCCTCTGGAGCTGAATCCACACACTTTAGGAGTTTTCCAAGATCAACCAGGAAAGTTATTGACTGTTGGATTCTCTTCCAATCAAAATTACTTCTGATCTCGAAGGAACAATCTGACCAAACTTTAATTTTAGCATATTCTCAAGATCACAGGATATCAAACCAAAGAAACAAAAAAGTAAACAGTCAACTTCTATCTCAATATAGAAAAGGATTTAGAAGAGAAGGGACTTCATACAGGGACCCAAGAGAAATAAGTATGAGCAGGAATGTAAGTTTGTTTGCTTGTTTGTTTGTTTATTTATTTTTACTTACAAGGAGACGGCAAAAGTTGTTAATACTGTATATTCTGAAACATTCTAATATAATTTTTTTTCATTCAAGTTACTTAAAACGTGAAGCTTGTTTCTAAACATATAATATGAAATGTTTGTTTAAAAGTGAGAAATTATTTAGAATTTTAAAAATACAGAAAAGAATGCTAATTGAAATAATTTCCATATCTATGCAAGACCTCTGATTATATTTTACACCACAGAGTCTTCTGAGTGTACTCCTTAATTGTAATTAAAAGCAATTTAAAACTGCATTCATTGCCTTAGAGTATAAACTATAAAGCCTCATGCTAAAGTCTAAAAAAAAAAGAAAGAAAGAAGAAGAAAAAGAAAAAGAAAAACAGAGAAATCAACTTCATTATTGTGCATCTTACTGAATAAACAATATAAAACAATGACTTTACTTTTACTGCTTTAATAACACTTATTTTATTTCAGGTATTTTTGTATATATTTTATAACAGGTGATTCATAATATAGAGGAAGACTATAAAATAACTTTTAGAATTGATGATATCTATACTAAATAATGAGAGATGAGATAAAGGAGCTATGAGAGTTTTAATAACTACCCAGTATAAGAAAAACAAATATTGGTAAAGTTTCTGACTTTCTGTGAAACCCATGATGCTAGGGCAAGCCTCTCATTCATTTTTTAAAAAACACTACAACACTCAATAATTGATCATGGTTCTTAAATTTTAATGGGATTTTAAGTACTAAATATGAATTTTGGAAGAGAAGGACAAATACTGATAGAACTGTAATGTAACAAAATTAGGGATCATAAGCCGTAACTCAAATGCTCAGAGAACAATGTCAGGCCTTTAATGAATAATTTAATTAGTAAATAACACATTGATTAAAATGTATTTGAAAGAAGAAACATTTCCTTCGAAAGGAATCTTCTGAAACACATGGTAGCAAAACAAAAAACAACTGGAGAACTGTTTCCACCATGCCCACATCTCTTAAGCCTTTAATTGTTACTATTTCATGCATTTTCTTGAATTGGGGAAACAGGATTTTCATTCCATTTTACAAGTGTGATCATAAACATTGTGTCCTACCTATTATTAATGGTGGCCCATGCATCATTCATATTATTGGTCATTATTTGTACTTTTCTGGTGTCATCAGCTGAGTAATCCCGAAGAAGTTTAAGGGCCAAATCATTTGCCACATCCACATTTATATGCCATTGCCGTAGCTCTTTTGCAAATTGCTGGAAAGAGAGAAAAAATATGAGCTGCTTTTGAGAAAGGCCTCAGTAAGCTACACAGACTGAAAGAATTCACAAAGCCATTTAAATACTCATGATGGAAACATATAACCTTTTCAGTTACAAATATCTGAAATGCTTTAGCTTGTTAGTCTATTGCTTAATATGCTATGCAAATTTCTTGGGTAAGTCACCTTTCTCATTCAATTAAAAGTGTTAAAGTTTGGGTTATTTGGGGGATCCCACAAAGTCTTTGAAGCACTTTAAAAACAGCTCTGGACTTATACAATCCCATCATGTTGAGCACATTTGAGAGTGCTTTCTTTTTTTTTTAATTCCACAACAATTTATCTGAAACAGGACAAAACATTTTTTTTTAGTGTTTGTTCTTCAGTGCTGCAGTTCTGCAAGCTTGTGGGTAGACTATTTTTCCATAATCTTATCTCACCTCCTAGGTTCTGAGGTTCACCCACACAAAATCATTCCAGAGGCCTTTTAAGGGGAAAAGATGGCTTGGTAGCTTTACAGTTTCTACTAACAACGACGACGACAACAACAACGATGATGATGACGACGATGATGATTCACATATGACTAGAAAATGTACACAAAGTAAACTAATAGTGTACATGGTGGTGATCTAGCAATTTATTTTCTTCTGGGAAAATGTTAATGAATCCGTTTCTAAATTGCACATTATAAACAAGTAGAACAGGGTTTGATTTATTTATTTTTCTCAAAAACACAGAGACCTGAAACTTGACCACAGGACTGGCTGAGCAATGTAAAATAAATAAATAAATAAATAAATAAATAAATAAATAAATAAATAAATAAATAAGCAAGCAAATAAGCAAATAAATAAATAAAAATAAAAATGGAAGTAGTAGAAGAAGAAGAAGAAGAACAGGAGGAGAAATAAATTCTAAATCCAAATTAAACAATTTTCTCCCCTCCCAGACTGCACTATCTTTCAGAAGAAATTTGGATGGTGCAAATAAGTTAGCTATGATATATACAGAGTCTTCTGTGTAGATATAATATTACCGCCCACTATGAATGGTTTAAACACTGTAAATTTTACTCCATTTATGTCTATGCGAGTGAAACATGTTGGGAGGTAGAGCAACTGTGATGCACAAAATAAATAAATAAATAAAAGTTACTTTGCACCCATTTTATTTTTTTTTAATTGCTTTATCTGTTATTATGTAATGAGTGCCACCTACTGGAATAGTTCTAAACATACGCACACAAAGGTACTTTAATTCCCTTTGAAAGTATAATGTACTATAATTTTTATTGCTTACTACTTTTCCCTAGTATATATGGGAATATGTTAGGAATGATGTTCAAAATACTGCTTCTGCATTTGATTGATTTGGGTAGCTTTGTTTCACTTTCATCAGAATCACTGTTTTAGAAATTTTCATTTTAATTAGAAAGCATTTAAGTACAATCCCATGAACTATTTACATCTCGACATTCATAAGAAGTAAAATAATACCATTTTTTCATAGTCTATTGATATATTTTTATGACTCCCTGTTATGACAGTTTGCAGAACTTACAAATTATTTCTTAATTTGTAAATTTCTTAATTTGTAAACTGCTATACACTTAAGAATTCACCTGTGAATATTTTTCTTGTTTGTATTGATAACAAATAGATGCCAATATTAATATATGACATTAAGACTGAACATCAGATACATAAATGAATATTATCCCATAATGTTTTTGCAGGTTTTGTAGATCTGAAAAAGCTTAAATGATTAAATTCAATGCTATGGCCTATAGCACCTCTTGTTATTTATTATGTTCATATACAGTATGCACTGACTTACAGTCATATGGAATTTTACTCATTTCTAATCCCCAGTTCTGGATGCTAGAAATTACTATATGCTTATTATGGTAAAACCACCCATTTCATTTTTTAAAAATATTGAAGTATAGAATCAACAAATACTGCTTTATTGATAAAACAGAATGAAGTAATGGCTTGTAAATTTTACTAAGGAAAAGTATACTTTTTTCAAATTTAAATAACTTTGTAATCCTTTCTAAAGAACACTATTTAATGGGCCTTCTGAATCCATTACAAGGATATTTAAAAAGTGGTGTTTCTAGCAATTAACTTCAGTACTTTTATCTGTTAATTCATGACATTACTAAACAGCAATATCAGTTAGAATGTTTAGAAGGGGGAAAAGAGCCTTATTCTCTCTGAGGAAATAATTAATCTTTTCAAAAACTTTGAAAGATTTCCAATCTTTAGTCAACACTTCTAATGTTTCCGAACTAACTGGAGACCACAATGATACTATATCTGTTTTATCAGCCAACCTACTAGAGTCCCATTATTTTCTGTTTTACATGACTTCATATAATGAATTTTTATAATTAAACTAATGACACTTTTTTTTTTCCTTTTCTGCACTCCCCTTTTACTTTCAGGCATCATTTACCTCTTAAATATGTTTTTCCCCTTCCTTTCCTTCTGATAGTAAGGGCTATATAGAGCTTTATTAGCTAAGTTTACTGTGACATATTTTATGTCCTCATTCCTTCCTCATTCACTCAATGAAGTAGGGAAATGTGTAAGCAATTCTGTTGACATATATTCACAATGTTTAAAGAAATTATAAATCAGAGATTAATTAAAAGCAATGCTTTTACAGAAAAAAAAAATCTGCATAAATAGACATTCCCCCTAAAATAAATTAAACAAACAGGAAAAAGTTTCTTTGTATTCTAATATTACTTAATTGAATAACAATGAACTACTGCAGTGACTTACGCATTAGAGAAACATATGTGCATGTATAGCATGGTTATAGCTTTAACCCTTTATATATAAAGGAATAACACTTATTAGTGTTGATTTCCTTTGGAAGGAGGAGACTCATGTTGTTTTTAATAATTGAATTAATTTATAGATATATAGGCTGAGTATAGAGGAGACACAAATATTCGAACTAGAAGCTAAATTCACTCACTGCTGCCAAAGAGCACTATATTGCTACTTTTACAAGTCCTAGTATAGGAAACAGATGCTATGGATGGGCCTTGGAGAACTTTCTTACAGATAATGCCATGAGGTGCAGAGGCATCAAATAAGTTTCAGCATTAAAAAAAAAATCTTCCCTCCTTTTCTGCATATCATTTTAGATGTAGATAACAATCAGCATTTATCAGCTCTACAAAGAACAATACCCAATTAAAAGAGTCTGTTTTGTGGATGGTATGCATTTTCCTCAATCTCAGATTCTCTACCAGAGGCCTGGGAGTTTGAGGGTTCTGCACAGTATCTGAGCTGTTCCTAGCACTCCCCTCTTCGGGACAGAGAACTCTGATGTTGTTCCTGGGATCTGCAGGAGCCACTCCCCCAGCTTAGGAGTCACAGCCCTGAGTTCTCCTACCACCACTGGGACCACTTTAGCCTTTACTTTCCACATCATCTCTAGTTCTTCCTTCAGGCCCTGGTACTTCTCCACTTCTCATACTCCTTC